TAAATAAATAAATTCATTTGTGCGAGCTACAGATGATAGCTTTCTGAAGAAAAGAAAATTTAACAATGGACTGCTGTTCTCATGCTTTTGGAGCTGACAACAGCCTTTGATATGGTTGACAACAATATTTTACTCTCTAGGCTAGACCAATGTAGTATCAAATGTGCTGCACTGGATTGGTTCAGGTCTTATCTGTCTGACAGTTTTTCTGTAAACCTAGGAAATCATGTTTCCTTCCTCACATGGGGGGGTTCCCCAGGGTTCCATTCTTGGCCCCATTTCATGTTCCATACATATGCTCCCCTTAGGCTCTCTTTTTAGAAAATTTAACATCATTTTTCATTCCTACGGTTTGAATGGGTTGAGTCTTATTTAACTGATAGATTTCAGTTTGTTAATATTAATAATGAATCTTCTTCTTACACCACAGTTGGTCATGGTGTTCCTCAGGGTTCAGTGCTTGGACCAATCCTCTTTACTTTATAAATGCTTCCATTAGGTAAAGTTATTAAACAGCATGGGATAAATTTCCATTGTTATGCTGATGATACTCAGTTATACTGTATTTATCCATGAAACCCGATGAATCCAGCCAGTTACTTAAACTACAATCATGTCTCAAAGACATAAAAACCTGGATGACTCCTAATTTTCTGCTTAAACTACGATAAGACAGGTTGTGGTTTTTGGACCTGAACATCGTAGGGATCAACTTTGAAAATTTTCACCATCTCTGGGTGGCATTAATCTGGCTTCCAGTTCTAATGTGAAGAACCTTGGTGTTATTTTGGATCAGGATATGTCTTTTAACCCCCACATTAAAAAATATTACCAGGACTGCCTTCTTCCACCTGCGTCATATCACTAAAATTAGAAACATTTTGTCCAAAAATGATGAGGAAAAACTGATTCATGCATTTATCACATCTTGGCTGGATTACTGTAATTCTTTATTATCTGGGCATGCAAAAAAAACTGTTTAAGAAGTTTTCAGTTAATTCAAAATGCTGCTGCTAGAGTTCTAATGAGAGTTGGAAGGAGAGATCATATTTCTCCAGTTTTAGCTTCTCTCCACTGGCTCCCTGTCAAATTCAGAATAGAATTTAAAATATTACTCCTAACATACAAAGCTCTTAACAACCAAGCTCCATCATATATTAAACATCTTATTGTTTCCATACTTTCCTAACAGAGCACTTCACTCTCAGACTGCAGGTTTACTTGTGGTTCCTCGAGTTTCTAAAAGTAGAATGGGAGGCAGAGCTTTCAGTTATCAAGCTCCTCTCTTGTGGAATCAACTTCCAGTTTCTGTCCATGAGGCTGATACTCTGTCTACTTTTAAGATTAGACTGAAGACTTTCCTTTTTGATAAATCCTATAGTTAGACTTAGGTTTCCTAAATCATTCTTCATTTCTGCTGCTATAGACTTAGACTGCTGGAGCACAAACTGAGCACATTTCCTCACTCTGCTGTTGTCTTTAGTCTCTCTTCTCTACATGTTTATTGTAATTATTTCAATCAATAACCTGTTTTTCTTCTGTCTCTATTCAAGAAGTAGGTGCACCTGGATCAGTTCTTCTGTGTTTGGACGTGTCTCTTTCCTGTCCCCAACCCAGCTGGTTGAGGCAGATGGCCGCCTGTCCTGAGCCTGGTTCTGCTGGAGGTTTCTTCCTGTTAATAGAGAGTTTTTCCTCTCCACAGTTTGCTCAGGATGGGAGACTGTGATGAAGTGATTCAACAAAATCTGCTGGCTTCTTTTTCAGATTGTTCTTTTTTATATACAGTGCCCTGAGACAACGTATGTTGTGACTTGGCGCTATATAAATAAACTGAATTGAATTGAATTGAACTGAAAACCAGATCTATTTTCGATCAAAGCACAATAATTCTTCATTAAAACCACTCTTTGATTGCCTCACTGAGGTAAAAACTTGGATGGCTTCTAACTTTTTAAAATTTTAATGACAATAAAATTGAAGTTATTATTTTTGGACCCAGCGTTAATCATAGTGCTTCCCCTAAAGATCATGGTACCTTAGAGCTATCTGTAAAACCGCATGTCAAAAATTTGGGGGTGATCTTCGATTCAAATTTAACTTTGAGAAACATTAGTTCTGTAGTAAAGAGATTGTTTTTAAACTTAGACTTTTGTCTAAAGTTAAATAATTTTTACCTCTCAGAGATTTTGAATGTTTAATCCATGCTTTTATTATCTCAGCTGGACTGCTGCAACTTTTTGTATGTTGGAGTTAGTCAGGCTGGCCTCTCACGACTGCAGTTAATTCAGAACGGTGCAACACACTTTTTAACACAAACAAAAAAAAAGTGTGATCATATCTCCCCGGTGCTGGCTTCCCTTCATTGTCTCCCTGTTTCTTTTAGAATAGATTTTAAAGTTTTATTGTTGACATACAAAGCCCTGAATGGACTGGCTCCTGAATATCTATCAGACCTCTTGCAGCCTTAGGTGCCTCCCAGATTTCTTAGATCCAGTGATCATTTGCTTTTGGCTGTCCCATGGTCAAGACTGGTCCACAGAGGTGATCAAGCCTTTTCCTATTTCTGTTTTGGCTCCTAAACTGTGAAACAAGCTGCACTCTTCAACTGCTTCAACTCTTGGTGTTTTTAAGTCTCACCTTAAAACACACCTGTTTTCCAGAGCTTTTAATTCAGCAGGAGAGCTGGCTATTTCCACTTTTAAAGGGACAATATTATGTATTTTCCAGGCATACATTTAAATACAATACCACAATAAAATATCTATGTCACCTTTAGCTGTTATTATAATGCTGTTTTATGTTTAAACAGAAAATAAACTTATCTTCTCATCACTTCCTCTTCTAAGCGCCTTGAAATTGGCCTCTGCCTCTTTAAGAACCACCTTCTGCTCTTGCCTCGCCCATTTCAGTCCATGCTCGCGAGGGGGAGAGGGCCTGCTATGATGCAGTTTACTTGGCATCTGAAAATACATTTCCTCAAATGTMWYTTTARYCTGAAAAGAGCTTCACTGAGTGAGAACTAATGTTGAGAGCTCAGCAGACAGTTTAAGTTTCTCTTTCACTTTCACCC